AATCAGGTTTATCCGAGTCACCTGTCACCTAGACAACATACTCGTGTTGCACAGCTAGTAGGGAATAAGTGTTCCGTAAACTGTCATTTAGATGGGCAAGCTGTGGGACATTGTGGGACACCGGTGCCCAAGTCTCAATTGTTTCAGAAACTTTCATGCATAAACAGTCGTTGACAAGGAAACTCAGAAATGTGGAAGAACTCTTAGGGATACAAGGAAAAATTGAATTGAAAGCTGCAAATGGCACGCCAATTCCATATTGTGGTAGGATTGAACTTAGCGTGAGGTTAAAATGAAACCCAACCTGACATTTTAGTACCGTTTTTGGTAACCAAAGAGAATATTGGACCTCCAATAATCGGATTCAATGTCATAGAACTAATTGTTAAGGAAGCAAATAGCATAAGTGATGATACAGAAACATTTGTGAGTGCAATGAAGAAAAGTTTTGGTAGTTGTAAGGGAGATAAAGTACAAGCGTTGATAGATGTTATTTCAGCAAATGAGCCTGATGACCTTTGTCAAGTAAAATGTCACAAAACAGACATTTTGATTCCGAAAAATCAAAGTATTGATGTACCTTGTCGTGCGAACACTGGTCCAATAAACCGCACTGTTCCAGTTCTTTTCGAACCTATTGACAATACTGAATTACCATCAGGGTTATTATTACAAGAGGAACTTAAATCAATAAAACAAGGGAACTGTTCACTCATAAATGTTAAGATTACAAGTCAAACAAATCACGACATTATTCTTCCTGGTAGAACAGTGGTAGGGCATTTGCAACTGGTTCGCTCAGTAACTCCAATAGAAGTGAAGCTAAAGGAACCTAAAGCAACTACTACTAATCAGCACTTTGATCAAACTCAAAGTCAGGAATGCAACAACGTGAGTGCTGAAAATTTGCCTCCTGTAGACCTGACTGGGTTAAATGGTGAACAGTTAAAACAAGTTAAACAATTATTGTACAATGAACAGGAATCATTTGCAAAGGACGATGATGATGTGGGATGCATTCCAGAGTTGACAATGGATTTAACTATGACGAGTGAGAAACCTGTCCAGAAAGATTATGCGTCAATACCACAACCCTTGTACCCCGAGGTCAAAGGGTACATAGAGGATCTCTTAAATCGCGGATTTATTAAAAAGTCAAAATCACCATATTCAAGTAGTGTCGTTTGTGTCCGACAGAAGGACGGAGAAATACGGTTGTGTGTAGATTATAATGAACTAAATCGAAATACTGTGCCTGACCGACATCCAATACCTCTAATACAAGATTCTCTTGACAGTTTGGGCGGCTAATCGTGGTTCAGTGTTCTTGACCAGGGTAAGGCCTATCATCAGGGATTCATGGGAACAAATAGTCAACACCTCACAGTCTTCATAACTCCTTGGGGTTTGTATGAATGGGTGAGAATCCCTTTTGGCTTAATGAATGCCCCTGCCAATTTTCAATGTTTCATGGAACACTGCCTCGACGAGTTAAGAGATGAGATCTGTATCCCTTACCTGGACAATGTGATCATATTTTCCAGCTCTTTCACTGAACACATAGAACACTTACGTAAAGTGCTCAGACGGTTGCGAGAGTGGGGAGTCAAGCTTAAACCAAAGAAATGTAACTTATTTAAACAAGAAGTCTCATTCCGTGGTAGATTAGTATCGCAGAACGGGTATTGCATGGACCCTAAGGCAACAAGCGCAGTTCAGATGTGGAAACATACAACACCGTCTACTGTTGGTGATGTTCGAAAGCTGGTGGGTTTGCTAGGTGTTTGCCGGAGGCATATTAAGAACTTCTCACAGCAAGCAAAACCAATCTACCATCTGTTGAAGGAAGATAACGGTAAAGTTGGAGAGAAAAAGAACGTACGATCTTCTTGTAATCTAGTGCAGTGGACCTCAGAACATCAGATAACCAGAGTATAATGCGCCTTTCATAGTTCACACAGATGCCTCCCAGGAAGGCCTTGGGGCGGTACTTTACCAGGAACAGCAAGGAACAATACGTGTAATTGCTTATGCGTCTAGAACATTAACTCCAGCGGAGAAAAATTATCATCTGCACAGTGGCAAGTTGGAGTTTCTAGCCTTAAAGTGGGCAGTAACTGAACACTTTAGAGATTATTTATACTACACCCCAAAGTTCGTGGTGTATATGGACAACAACCCTTTGACATATGTACTTTCATCTGCAAAGCTAAATGCGACTGGACTTCGATGGGTAGGAGAGTTGTCGGAGTTTAATTTCGAAATTAAATATCGTCCCGGTAGAGTTAACGTCGATGCTGACTGCTTATTAAGACCACCGCCAGATATACAAAAGTATATGGAACGTTGCAGTGTCAAGATTTCGCCTGACGTTATTCAAGCTACTATCTCGCGGTTAAAGCACAAGAAACGGGTGACGTTGTCTGGATAACAGCCGTAACCGCTGATGAGAAAGAACTACAGCCTGATAAAAACTATGAGGCAATGCCTGCTGGCACAAGTAAACTAAAGGTCGTGGACATAGTCAAAGCACAACACGAGGACGCTACAATAGCTCGCGTTTTACAACTCTTAAAGACCAATCATAAACCTTCTGTAACAGACATACGCCGAGAAACACCACAAGTTCGAAAGTACCTCTGTAAATGGCATCAGTTAAATGTGAACAAAAAGAACGGCATTCTATACCACAAAGAACAGTTGGTACTACCCCACAAGTTTAAGCGCATGGTTTACAGAGAACTTCACGAAGAAATGGGACACCTAGGCATAGAACGAGTATTAGATCTTGCACGTCAGCAATTCTTTTGGCCGAACATGCGAAAGGACATAGAATATTTTATCCATCACGTCAGCTGATGTTTAAAGCAAAAACAATCCAATCGACATACAGTTGCACCATTACAACCAATTGTTACAACTGCACCGTTCCAATTAATCTCGATTGACTTTGTACATTTCGAAAAGAGTTCTGGTGGTTACCAGTATATCTTAGTAGTTGTCGATCATTTTACTAAGTATTCAGATACAATTTTTAAAGTGCCCCTGACACAAAAATGTTTTTTCAGTCTATCGAAAGTCCTCATTTAGTTTTGTGTTCTAGCAAAAGAATTTTTCGATTTCATCAAAACGAAAAAATTTTAGAGCCGTTTGAACACGCAAAATTTGGGCTTTTGGTTGGCAGGCGTCCGTGTTCGAAGGAAACTGGAACGAGCGATTTTTGTTACGTCACGCAAGTGAGTCGGCGTATATTCTATTATTCGACCATACTAGCAATATCAACTCTCGCGGATATATAGGTAGATTTGTGATCGAAAAAGATATGTCTTTTTACTGTGTTGCAGTTAACTGTACCAATAAAGCATGTTTAAAAGATGGAATAAGTCTACACAATATTCCATACTTCAATGACGAACACGCGGAAGCTAAAAGACGACGAAAAGTATGGGTTGATTTTGTACGTGCAAAGCGTTTGTTTGTGCCGTCAAAGACTTTGACTATATGCTTGGATCATTGTAGATCAGAGGATTACGAGAGGCAATTTTTCTCGTTGCCGGGGCTCGGCAAGCCTAACTATCTGAAGCTAATAAAGACTGACGATGATTTGCTTTGTTTTGATGATTCAATTTGCAATTTGTATTTCAGTTTTGCGGCCAGCTAAAAATATAAATATTTTGTAATACCGAAATAAAAGTGCAAATTCCGGTTCGAATGAGACTATTACGAAAAAGATATGTCCAAAGTGGCCGAAGTTATGGTTGGCTAAATGTATGGCTACTTTACATTGTTCGAGACTATATAAATTGAGTAATATAATGAATTATGACACCGCTTGACCTCTCAAACGTCATAAATAGCTATTTGACTACAATTTGACTAAAACTATATTTGACTAAAACTATCATTAGAAATAAGGAGATTTTGTTTCACTGAATCGAATGGTAGTAATTTTGTCTTCATAGCATGCACGAACCGGAGATATGAACCTTGCAAAGTCATAGAACGTCTACGCTAGTAGGAAGCTTATTAAAGATGCGCCAAATCTGAGACATGGCGCGACCAAAAAACAATCGCTAATATAAATGGGAGACTAGTTTTACTTTGTTTTTCTCGTGTCCCTGACTTCGTTTACCAACAATAGTTTTTATCCGTGAAGTGAAACTGTGATAATAGCGGCAGTTTTTCGTCACGTCCGCGTCGCAGATTTGGTAATATTAATGATACCACTATAGAGACTTGACGAGATGCTACAGATTAGCATCTTCCAATACAACATATTAACCAGGTATAAAATTCGCTCCGGAATCATCGGACTGATTCTGTTGATTCTGTTGACATGATACTTTATAGAACTTAAAATATAAAAAGTTAAACACTACAGCGATCAAAACCTTCGAGCTGATTAAAACAGATAACTTAACAGGCATCTAGATTCGACTCACTTGCGTGACGTCAGAATAAATGCTAGTGCCAGACTTCTGTCGCCGACGGCCATTAGCCAAAAATATTTGGATTCAAACGGCTCTAAATTTTTTTCGTTTTGCTGAAATCGAAAAATTCTTTCGCTAGAACACTATACTAAATGAGTACTTTCAATAGACTGAAAAACATTTTTTGTGTCAGGGGCACTTTAAACAGCTATAGTCAGTGAGTAAAATAGTCTGGCGTTAGACAGAGTAAAATAATAAAGTAGGGCGCATTGCCACTAAAGAGTTAATTACATGTTGTCATAGCCAGCTGTTAAGATGCAATATGTCAACTGTCTAGTTAGTTAATTATTGTCAGTGTTATTTTATTCTGCCTAATGCAGCCTGTGCAGGCCTTTATACTTACCATACTTATAGTATAAAGGTCTGTGACAATCTGGCTAATTTAACTCATCAAAGAAAAACCTTTACTTAATAACAAATTTTAATTCCGGGATACATTTCATCATTGGCACTTAACCCATTGAGCAACAATGCGCTCAAATTTATCATTTTACTTTGTCTAATCCCAGACGATTTTATTCGTCAAGAGGATAGTATAAATCAGGCATTATGCTGTAATTGTAGGGTCTGGCTGGCTTGCCCATTTAGCCGACAGCCTGGTAAGCGAAACCTCGCCATGTAGTTAATTATTTCCATAGTAAAAACTATTTTCAGTTTAATATGATTGGATAACCTGTGGTTGTCCCGGTTCCCATGATCTCGCTTGAAAGAGCCGAGATCTGGCTTAGTGCATGGGATGAAAATTTCTCCATATAAACATTCACTACACTTAATTACCAGGCTGCCGAGATGAAAGTTATAGAGAATAATACAGAAATATGGCTTCATGTCGGCACCCATTATACTGCGTTCCTTAATATATAGCCAGTGCACTTACGAGAGGCATTCACCTGAAAATATTCAAAATGGCAGACATTCAGGAGGGGGGAGGGGGGCGGTGAATGCCTCTGGGAACATGACGAGTGCATTTTGATGACAACCATTGCGAATCATGGTGTGGCAGAGATTACTTTTTTTGGCTGAGTCAGACTTCTACAGTCTCTACGACAGTGTCAAAACAACAAAATTGTCCTGGCAAGCGGGATGAAATTTTCTCAAATAAAAGCTAGACAAGACAAATTCATCCTACTTACAGGATTATATTGCTAAGCAGGCCAGCCCAGCTGCTTGCATATGAAGAGCCTAATAAGGCGCTGTTACAACAAGCAACTTCTCTTGGAACTTGTCTCGCAATGTTAAGAAAAACAATTTCGGCATTGCATTGCAAGGGAATGTCACACCAAGCAATATGTTCCATGCAACTT